CCACTTTACTCCAGCCTGGGCAACAGAATGAGACTCCAACTCAAAAAAAAAAAAAAAAAAAAGAAAAAGCACGATGGCAAGGAGAACAAATAGTCAAAGGCATGCACACACAGAAGTGACCCAGAGCCTCTGGGACATACTTCTCAGTACTCGCAAAAGCAGCTTAAATAAAAATGGAGCAAAAACCACAATTAGAAAAATCAATACAACCCCATTTTCAAAGCAACTGGCAGCACAAGAGGTCACGGGGGTGGGCTGTCTTCCTTGTTCTGTGATTCCCAAAGTCTAGCACTAGGGCAGAGGTGGCAGCTGAGACCACTGAGGCCATCACTGGTGAGAGGGGCCTCTGTCAACTTCCTTGCAGTATGGCTGGGACTACCCCAGCCAGAGCACTCCACTTCCTCTGAGGGGACCAGAAGGTCTACTGGGACACCCTCCTCTACCTTCCGCAGCCTCCAGGTCACAGCTGGGCACAGGGCCACGTATGCTCTACCAAGGCACAGGCTGGCTTCTACGACCCTCAACAGAAAGATGGCTCTAGCTCAACCCCCGCAGGCAGAGGAAGACAGAACCCTCCCAGGAGTGGGAATGCCACAAGGCCCACGGGACCTGGAGTTCACGCCTTCCCTTCTTCCACCAGGGAGATTAATGAAGCTAAAACTCTCAGAGGGTGGACATTTCAAATTCAAATGCCCTCTCTGCCACAACACCTGCCAGCTCCCCTTACCAGGGTGTAGGAAGAACTTCTGGTGCACTTGAAGTTGACTGGCCTGGAGGGCCAGAGCTGGGCCATCACAGCATATCACTCTCATCTGCTGTGCACGGCAGCCACAGCCTGACTGATATACAGACTGAAACACTGCAATCCCCCCGTGTCCACCCTGAAGACAGCACCTACCTGCCCGGTCGGCTTTGAGTGCATCCCAGACGTTGCAGTTGAAGTCGTCGTACCCAGCGAGGAGGAGGCGCCCGCTCTTGGAGAAGGAGACGGAGGTGATGCCGCAGATGATGTTGTCATGGGAGTAGGTCATGAGTTCCTGGTCTGCACGAAGGTCAAACAGCCTGCAGGTTGCGTCATCCGAGCCCGTGGCAAATGCATTGCCATTTGGAAAGAACTGAAAGGAGAAAGCAAATCAAGACAGTATGTAGACTCTGAGGAAGAAATGCTGGAAACACAGACTGTACTGCTCAATGAGGGTACTGCTGCCAACACAGGAGGCCAGAGAAATGAGGCCCACCTTGGCAGGAGCACAGCGAGAGTGCTGTAGGGACCCGGCAAGCTGCGCAGGGACTAGAATGAGAGAGGTCTGCACTAGAGAAGCACAAGACACTGTGATCCCCACCACTGTGGCTGTCGTCCCCAAAGAGCAGATTTTACTCCAGCAGAACAGTGAGATCATGGGCACCACCTGCAGACGTGCGTGTCTCCATAGCTGCCAGGCATGAGGGCTGACCTCACGGAAGGCGGAGGGGGGTGGGGCTCACCAGGGTTGATCCCAATCAACCAGCCATGCCCTCCACCCCTCCTTCTGAGGCTGAGGTGTGGGGGAGGGCAGCCTTCTGCTCAGCTATGCCCCTGATCAGCCAGGATGCACTGTGACCTGAGTTATTTTACCGCCTGTCCCCTCCACCTGGAGGTAAGCCCCATGATCCCAGCCATGGGTCAGGCTTTGGCACAGAATAGACACATCACGGACATTGTGAGACCAACAGTCACCACACAGCCAGCCCCGAAACTCAGAGCAGCTCCCGGCCAAGTTTTCTAGAGGGAATTTTCTGTATGCCTGTTTATAAATCAGCCTGCATTTGCACTGAAGAGTCCGGGAGAGAGAACATCTCATCCAGAAAACAGTGTGAGTGGAGCAATCAGCCCCAGCACAGTCAGCAGGACCGACCCCACGCCTTCCCTGGACTTACGCAGATAGCATTGATGTCAGACTCGTGGCCGGTGAAGGTTTGCCGACACATCCCTTCTCGCACGTCCCAGAGTTTGGCCGAAGCATCACAAGCACCAGAGACAAACAGTCTGGTGTCAGGAGCAAGAGAAAGGCTCATGACGTCGCCAGTGTGTCCGGTAAACGTGGTTGTCTGCTGGCCGGTCTCGATGTCCCACAGGGCACTGGAGTGAACGAAAGCGGACATCAGCCTCACTTCTCAGACGACTAGTCATGGACAGACTATCTGCAGTACCTGGGGCCACAGGGGACTTTCTATACTTCCACTTCAAAGACAAATTTAAATGTAATAGGATTTTGGAAGGGAAACAAAGCAAAGTCAATAGAACTAAACAGATGAGTGGGGCATGGTGACAATTCTGCAGGACCGGTGGTTTCTGTGCACTCAGATGCCAGCAGCCAGGGGACGGCACTGCCAAAGCAGGGACATCTGGAGGCTGTACCCCTTGGGACCACAGAAGGACCTGGAGCAGCAGGAAGGCCTGAGAAGGCCCCAGGTGGCAAGAGACCTCCTTCGTGCTCGCCTCATCCACGGCTCTCACAGTGCCAGTGGCCCTCCCCATCCGCCCTCCTGTACAGTCTTGGAGAAGGTGACAGAACAGGGCAGTGCCAGGTCAAAAAGCAGCTACAGTCATTCTGCAGTCCCCTGCCCTCTTCTGGAGTCCCAAATCGAAGAGCAGCTATGGTCTCAATGGTTATACACAGTGTTCTGCTGTTTCTGCTTCACAGGGTGCCAAAAAGTGAGTCCCTGATCGCACTCACACAGAGCGGAAAACTCTGGTGTGCGCGTGCTCTGCAGGCTGCATGCCAACGGGCTGTTCCTGCACCTCCACAAGGCAATTCCAGCAAACACTGTCCATCCACTTCAGCCTCGGGGAAAGCAAGGCTAGCCCTGGATGCAAAACCGGACAGACACTCAACATAACCCACACAGGTTTCCCTTCTGGGCCTGCAGAAAGGACGCAGATGCACACAGGAGTCTGTAGACAATGAAGAGTGAACAAAATGCTTTACAACTACCTTCTAATAAACAGAGTCTTCCCAAGCCTAACAGTCTAGATCATCAATCTTCTGTGTACCTGCAAAGTCTATTCAACCAGGACATCTTATAAATACCATGGACCCCACTGACAAGCTGGTCAAGGGCCCAAATCTCAGTGAACCCACCAACCATGTGGCCGGGGGTTTGTGCCCCAGGCAGGGCAGCTCCTGGCACCAAATTGTGCCTCCGAAGACCAAAAAAACCACAAGAGCAGTGTAAGTCTAAAGTAACTCTGAAAATAACTATCTGGTCATTTAATTTATGTGCTTTGATGCCACAGACAAAACAGTTCTAGAGTTTCTTTAAGTGGGCTTCCATCTACCTGGAAGGTGAAAGCTCTAAGGAGTCTGTCATAATTCACTTGGGCTGTGACACCTGCTATGTTTATGTTCACAATGAGATGGTGCCTGCCTCATTCCCATGAAGGACTGTAAACCACCACCAAAGCAGGGAAAAATCTAGAAGGAAAAAAGGAGGAGCAGGAGCTTCAAGCACCACTGTGCAGATAGTGGTATTTCAGCTCTGAGCCAACGCCTAAGGCCATTTCACCCTGGAGATAGCTGATTAATGTCAGGAACCAGGTTTCCTACCCGTCTAGACCTCCCGGCATGCACAGAGGCATGTGCTAGGCCAGCTGGGGTCTCAGATGCACCACCTGCTGGGCCCAGGTACTCACCACGTGGTGTCTCCAGAACTGGTGACGATCTGATTGTCATCCAGGAATCGGCAGCAGGACAAGTAACCTGGCGAAGAGCAGACCCAAATGACAACCCAAGTCTAGCAAGCCCGGATTCTAGTCTCTCAAACATGAACAAGTGTGTTGGCAGAAGGGAAGTTCAATGTCTAGTTATAACACCCCCTTGCAGGTTAGTTACCTGTGTTCCATGTGTGCACATGGGAATTAACAAGGCAGTGAGGTGTGTACACTTCTGGCCAGAGACTGCCGCACAGTTCCAGGGCAGTGATAACAGAGCACACCCGTGGCACTGCATCTTTCACCTGCTTTTCTGCTCAGCACACCAGAGACTGGGGGACCGCTTCCTCCTCTGATTTGCTCATCCAAGAACTCATCAGTCAGAATGGGCACGGTGCCTGGCGGGCAGCACCGGGACACCTGGCACATGGATGAACTGCAGGGATGCCTCCTGCTCTCCTGGAGCCACCTTCTGGTGGGGAGTGCACAGGACAGTCACTAAGTCACTTGAGGAGCACATCAGGGTGCCAAGGAAGGAAAAGGAAGAGGGAAAGGAACCCCTAGCAACCACAGGAGCGGAGAGAAGAGGATGGATGAGCGACCAGAGAGATCTAAGAGCCAGGGAGGCAACGGCTAACTGGGGAGCAGGAAAAAACCAGCCCAGCTACAGGACAGTGACTGCGTCATTCAGTGGGGGCTCAGAGAATACGTGGGAGTGGGTTTATTTCCACAGGGCGGCAGCGCTGGTACCTCAGGCAGCATAGGACATCTCTGTGTCCCTGAGCATGGCCACCCACACCCACAGGGAAGGACACATCAGAAACTAGACGGGCGAGTCTGTGAGGCTGTGGAGACGGCACAGATGCACTATGCCCCACCCTGAACAGTTGTGAAATGAGAAAAGGCAAAAACAAAATCAATATGCAGTATCCACATAGTGATCTCACATTCATAGCCTCTGTTTAACCACTCTCTCCTGCTTTTGTGCACTTATCTCAGGACTGTCAGTTCAGGGTCAGCAAGCCTCTGTCTGCCCAGGGCCGCCAATGGACAAGCCTGAGCCTGACCACTCTGGGGCCACATTGGCACTGGCGCTTCCCAAGACTCCTGCTTAGATCTGGGGGTTTGCTGAAACCTTTCCTTCTCAGGACATACCAAGGAGTCACAGGACACTGCATAAATCGGAAAAACCAAGAATAAAATACATGCAGAGAAGAAACCCACTGGGAGTTTTAATATGGAAAATGTAAGAATCCAGAGAAGATGAGGCTTTATTTAACAAACATGACTCAACAGGTTCCACAGGACAAGATGTAGAAATGACAGATTTCAAAACATCAACTACACACCTAGGAAAGGACATGTGACCCAGTATTTCCTGGAGATCACATCCAAGGGACACCAGGGACCACACAGGTGAGCTCTGCACACTCTGGGCCCCACACAGTCACCTTGGCTCTTCCAGGGGTTCTGGTCCCCCTCTTCCTGGGCCTCTGAGTCCACCCCACAGGCTCCCTACTCTGTCACCTTTGCTTCTGATCAGCTGAACTGTCACCTCCCTCAGGACGTCATCCCTAGTCCCACCCTCAGCCTGTAAAGTGCCCACCCCATTCACTTCCCTGAGCCTCACAGCACTTACCTGCATGACACTGAAGCATGAATGGGCAGGAAGGAAGAGGCATGGACACCCCAGAACATGAGCACTGCACACAGGGCCAAGCGGGGACACAAAGGATACACCCTCAAGATGTGCTCTGCCCTCCTCTGCAGTGGAGCCACCAGAACCATCGGCCTCCCACCCCAAGAACCAGAGACAGAACACACAATCGCAGCTCCTGGGCACCGAGAAAGGGTCCAAGAAGTACCTGCCAACAGTTACGACTGCAGAGGGTCCCTGACTTACAGCCTGCCCACTTCGACAGCTGGGGAGCAACATGCAACACGTTTAGTCGACGCACTCTGAGTACCACACTCCTGTGCTTTCTCACTCTAGGACAGTGCTCCCGCGCTGCAGGAGACAGTCAATGCTGTTTTACAACATGAACCTGGTGGAATAGCTCTGCCTAGCTGTGGCCACTCTTGAGCACGTGAAGGTGGCCAAGGCTAAGCCATGACGCGCGGCAGGGGAGGAGTACTCAACGTGGCATGGAGGGCAGGGTGGGCAGTGTCAAGGTCACCAAGTATCACTGCAAGGCCTACTCTGTGTGCAGAGACCAGGGGCACCCTTTCTTCCAGGGAAGCCTCACAGGGGCCTTTGGCTGACAGGCCCATGAGTGGTAACAATGGCGGACTCTGGGTTCTGCTGCCAGCATGGCTGCTAATCAGCAGTGAACATTCCAGCAGGTTCTTTCAGAGCCCCAGTCTCTCAGGTGAACTAGGGGTCATTTCAGAAAACTGCTAGGGAACAGAGCTGTCTGTGCACACAAAAAGTTCTCATTAAAAGAGGCAGTTACCTATTTCTGTTACGACTTAAGAAAGAACAAATTCCCTGGGGGCGTGTGGAGGTACCTGGGGTGAAAACGCCCCTCCTTCTTTGGAAGCCTGCAGAGGAGCAGGGAAAACAGACCCTGAAAAAAAGTGCGTACCCAGTGTGAAGTGCAAGGCACAAGGGTGTCAATGTGTGCTTCGGGGAGAGGCTAAAATAGCCCAGACCAGAGGCCTGGTCTTTCAGGTAGTGGACGTGAAGGGTTGTCCCATGTCTCGTGGAGACCACCAGCGACAAGTCTGTGACTGCCAGGAGAAAGGAGGTGGCTGGAAGTGAGGCGGGGGTAGGAAGCAGAACCTGAGTGAGGGACGTGCTCCTGGGAGGCAGTACGTGTGTCAACAAGGATAGGGTGAGGGACATCTAGAAGAGAGCACTTCACCAGCTCGGGAAGAGCGCAATGCAGGTGTACACACTTCTTGATTTGACGTGGCTGCCGACCCTGAGACAGCAAGAGAAAACAATGCGCAGACACGGGACCGAGTGCAGCCCTGGAGAAAACTCTTATCCCAAGAGTATCACCACGGGGGCTCCATGTCTAGTGTTTACTGAAGAAACATTTACAATAACTAATAAAAAGCAGGAAACTTCCTAGAAGGGGTAAGCTGTGCACCACACAATGGAACTCTTTACAGCTCCTGAGAGAAGACACTATGGTTCTGGGTGGGATTATAGGTTAAAGACGTAAAAGAAGATAATTCAAGGTTTGTATCCAAAATTTCTACAATGAACACACATTGACAGTTTTGGTTCTGCTGCCTGCATCCTGGAGAGCACCCCTACCCAGGGGCCAAGAAGGAGGCTGCACCTGAAGGAGGAGCACAGGACATCCAGGCAGGCAAACATGGGAAGCCAGGGACAGTCAGGCCCAATCGCTAGGCGGCCACTCTCAGACGGCCTAAGGCACCTGTGCTGCACCAGGCTCAGCTCCAGGGAACACAGCAAGCGTGCTTGGACATCGGTGCTCAGGAGGGAAGCACTCCTGGCCAGAACTCGAGGGACAGCCGCGGCCTGCACTAGGCATGCACAGGAGGCCTGGCAGCAGAGGCACTTTCTTCAAGACGACCAGGAAAGAGAGAAAGCAGAAAGTGAGAAAATAACAAATAATGTTTTTTATTATGAGGAAGATTTACTATGCAAAAGAGAGGGAACAAACTTATGTCATGCAAGCACCAGACCCAGGGGAAAACATAAGCAGATGGCCTAGAAGCCCTGTAGATCACGTGCAAGTGCCCTAGCCCTCCAAGGACTGGAGCCGTAGGGCCTTGGTGGCTCAGGGCTGTTCACCTCCTGCCAAAAGGCCTGGGACCCATCAGAACTGCAGGATTTGGCTTGGGGCAGGTGTGAGACCCATTCTGGTCAAAGGCAGGCACAACCCGAACTGGTATGTATACTGTTTCCCAGAGAAAGGGCAGGTGGGTAGGATGGAATGAGGCTCATGGGGCAGCATGGAGGGACCAGATCTGCCCAAATGCACCGGCCTGCAGCAGCCCAGCCCCCACAGCGGGCATGACTGTGAAGCCCGGATGCCAAGACTGACGACAGCCCAGAGCCAGCGTCCCACTCCCCTACCTGCCCTATCGTGACTCCCAAAGCAGATGTGATGGGGAGTCAGCATCTTCTACATCCAAATTCACTGGTACCTGTCAGAACAGAAATTCACTGTACTTTCTTTTTCTTTTTTTGTTTTGAGTTGGAGTCTCACACTCTGTCATCCAGGTTGGAGTGCAGGGGCACACTCACAGCCATCGCAGCCACAACCTACCGGGCTCAGGCAATCCTTCCACCTCAGCCTTCCAAGTAGCCAGAACTACAGGCATGCACCACCATGCCTGGCTTATTTCTTTATTTATCCATTGTAGAGACGAGGTCTTACTAAGTTGCCCAGGCTGGTCTTGAATCCCTAGGCTCAGGTGATCCTCTCATCTCCTCCCCTCAAGTGTTGGAATTGCAGGTGTGAGCCATATTTAAAGCCCAATCTATTACTTTTCAGTTACTGAACCAGTCAAATTCCTCCTAAGTCAGTCAATTTGAGTTAGGTCAAGTCATCTGCAAGAAGAGACTCTTCACTAACAGACAGGATGAAAAAGACTCCATCAGAAAGTTCTCTGGGAAAAGATATATTGTTAACTGAAACTCTCAAAAGGAGGCAACGTACAAACATTATCCCCACCCCCACCCCACTGTGAAGCTGCCCACTCTGCTCGCTGCAGGATCTAGAACTTTCTTTTCTGTTCTTTTTGAGTCAGAATCTCACTTTGACGCCCAGGCTGGAGTGCAGCAGCATGCTCATGGCCACCACAGCCTCGACCTGCTGGGCTCAGGCAATCCTTCCACCTAAGCCATCCAAGTAGCTGGAACTACAAACACATGCCACCACGCCCAGATAATTTTTTGATAAATTGTAGAGACAAGGTCTTGCCAAGTTGCACAGGCTGGTCTTGAACCACTGGACTCAGGCAATCCTCTCGCCTCCGCCTCCCAAAGTGCTGGGATTACAGGTGTGAGTCACGGCATCTGATTGTACTTTTATGAATATGGAAAATGGTCCACTTCTCATTGGATGAAGACGCGATGTCTAGAAAACCAAGCTTCAGCTACTACAGTGGGTTCCAGCAGGAGTGAAAGGTCATCACTGACAACTATGCCATACTGTGTAAGGACCCCGCTAAGCTTTTGACCAAAATGTAGCTGTGGTCATCTTGATCAGAATAATCTCAGTAAGGGTTAGCTTGTCTAATATTTGATCTGAGAGGCGTTGCGGAGAACAAACTTCCAAGAACAAGTGTCAAGTCCTTCTTTGTTAGCCCTTAGGGGTGTGCTTTGGGAATAATCTTGCAAGACTAGGCTAGATAATCAGAAATGAGCTTTTAAGGAATTAATACATTTTCAAATATAGTTTAATGCATTTATAATTATTTTCCACAAAATAGAATTTGGAAAGTTTATGCTAGCTATAATTTTAAAATGATAATAGCAATAAACATTCTACCCTGATCACTGCAAATTCATTTGATTAACTATTTTCAGATGGCATCTTTTATTTTGTTGAGACAGAATCTTAAAAGGCAAAACTCCAACAAGGCAGAAAGCCCATCTGACATTTTTTCTCTGCAGTATTGCTGAAGAGCTGCCAAAGCCCAGGCAGCAGACTAGAGAGTCAGAAGCATCTGCCTGTCCCAATATGGGTCTCATACCTTACAGAAACAACACAACACCCCACTGATAACCAGGAGTCTCATTGCAAAACTGACTGTAATGACTCCTGCCACCACACTGCTCAGCGATCTCTAAGGATTCGGTCAGCTGCTAAGATGTCACTAAAAATGCTTCCTATACAATGAAATTCTAAGATTTTTCTGAGGAAATTTCTCAATGACATGGATTAACAAAGGGTTCTAAACTGAGACGTCAGAGCGACAATGGCATAAGTAATGAAAACTTAGCTAATCAAAGGGATCCTTAAAAGGTCTGAAACAAGACAAAGACCTCAAATCCCCCAATTCACCCCCCTACTGACTGAGCATACCTTTGCCCCCCCACTATAGTAAGACACTAATCAAAGCATTCTTAAATTTTTACTTTATTGATTTGAAGCTGAAAAATATGAATCATGTCTGAAGAAAGTCACAAATATTCTTGAGATCAAAGCCAAAAAACACTTGACTCCTGAAAAGTAAAATTTCAAGAAATATGAAGGAACAAAATTTCTAAGATATTCCTACAAATTCCAATTTTTTGTTTTCTTGCGTTTCATACACACACAGTCTGTGTTAACACACTCAACTACCTTCCGTTTAATGGAATAACACACTGGTCTGCCCGTTACCCTTCTTCCAAGTGTGGTAAGGTTATGAGTGCACATACCCAACAGGATCTACAACAGCCAGTAGCTCCTTCCACAAGAGTGGCCTTCTCCAGAAATAACTAGGAGCATCGGACAAAGTCTATAAGCAAACACCTAAAGCCAGTGGGAACACAAGCAGCTGGATACAGAAGGAGGCCGACACTCACAGGCATGGAAGGCACTGGAAGAGTGTCCTGTTTTGGAAGCACTTTCCCTGAGGGCAGGCCTGTCGGTAGCAACTCTCAGACAGAAGATCCGCAGCCAAAGGTTTCTGAGAGCCAGCACACAGACTTCTGGGCAACCACAGTCAGAGAGGAAAGAATAAAATCCAGAAAGCAGAAAGTCACAGAATGGGAGCCCTAAAACAGAAGTGCCCAGAAACGATGTCTGCAGTGCACAGGCAGAGGGCAGACCCCACGCAGTAGGCCCACGCAAAGAGGACAGAACAAGGCTCATGCCACTGCCCACAAAGAAAAAACAGAGTTGTACTGCTCAATAAAACAAAACTAAACATTGGTGTTTCAGAAGAACATAACAGAAATAAAGTCTCTATGACACACTTATAATGTACAGGATACAAGCTGAAATGAGTACATATACTAAGAAACAGCAAAATGTTGCCCAGATTTCAGAGGAGAGGACCACAAGGACCAGCCCAGAAGATAACATGCTGGAACTAGCAGAGAATAATTTTAAAGGCAGCTATTGTAACTATGCTGCTCACAGATTTTTTTAAATGCACAAATAAATAAAAAGAAAACCTCATCAGGAAAACAAAACCAAGTTTTAAATAAAAGCAAATAGAAATTCTAGAAATGAAAAAAAGTACAGCTGATATTTAAAAATCTGCTGGATAGCTTGAACAGTCTATCAGAGATAAGAGGAGTCAAAGGAGTGTGAATGTGAGTGGGAGAGTGAAGCCCCAGACAAGGCACCAGCAGGAATCAGAGTATGAGGACAGGAAACCACAGGATGGAGAACAAATCTGAAGACATGAAGGAAACTTCCCCAAATTTGGTGCAAGACAAAATTTACAGATTCCAGAAGGCACAGCACAATAAATACTAGTAGCCAAGGGGTCCACCTTATGAAGCCAGAAAAGCAAGATGGAGGCAACCCCAAAGCAGGAAGAAGGCGGAAGGAAAGAGGAACAGAAATCAACAAAACTGGCAGCACATCTCTCATCTGGCCCAAACCAGCTTATCTGAAAGACTGCTTCATGGATGTCAAAATCAGTCCCACTTATCTTAACTCATTTGTGACCACTGACATGAATTATGTCATTCCAAATTCTGCTTCTGGTTGCTGCTGATGTGAATTTATTTCTGAATGCTGCAATGTTGTCATATGCATGTGTTATTATATTTTGCTTGAAAATGAATAGTCAGGCAAGGAGTGAGAAAATTAATTGAGAGAATTATCTGATATCAACTATGCAATGTTGTTATTGATTTACATAGTTGGGAAAAATTGCAAGTTGGTCATTATTTTGTTGCAATTAGTGCTGTATATTTGTATTTTGATTTCAGGGCTTTCATACTTCAATGTTAAAATAATTTACCATAATTATGACAAATGAAGAAATATATGCTGATGACAGTTCCAAGGTTGACGGTGAATTCACTGAACTTATTAGTGATAGTGAGACAAAAATTGATGTAATGATGCAATGTAAACAAAGAAATATAAAGCATATAATCTATGACAGTGAATCTAGTACTGGTGAGAACAAATCAGACATTGAGTGGACAAATATGATCCAAAAGGGAACTTAGAAGCGTTTATGGGTCATTCAGGTGTCAAGGTATTTCCAAATGATCCTCAAAGTATAAGTGAAGTTGCCGGACTATTTAATGGAGATGACTTTATAGAAAGGATCACAACTGAAACTAACAGGTATTACAATAAGATGCACTACAGATATAAATGCCCAAAGAAATAAAAAAAGTGGAGCCATACTATAGTGTCCAAGATGAAAAAATCTCTAGCATTAAAATTTTTGATGGGACAAGTGAAGAAAACCACAATACATGGCTAATGGTCAACACATCCATCAAGTACAACTTTCTTTTCAAAAATAGTGACACAAAACAGATTCCTACAACTTATGTGGTTTTTGCGTTTTTCCAAGAATGCAGTCAAATCCAAGCAGATTATGCAGATTGAATCCATAATAAATTATGCTTTAAATAAGTTCAACACTGTGCAAACCTGAACAAGAACGTCCCTTGGGTGAATCCATGATACTTCATCGTGAAAGACTGTCTTTTCGAGTTTATAATTTGAATAAAAATACAAAGTACGGAAGGCTAGTCAGAGTGGTATCTAAGGCAAATACTGGACATGTCTGCAATTTTCAGCTGTACTGTGAAAAAAGGGGACAATTTAGAAAAGACTACTTCACTTATGCTTAACGACAGCAGCTTGTGGCAACCAGTCTCAGATTTTTCTTATTTTCACCCATTCTCAGTATTAGAAAGTGAAAAATCTGCTGGTAGAGAATGTGTTAATTGGGATGGTTTCTGTGGCTGCATGTGAGGCAGGTGAGCTTGGTCGAGTGCCTGCCAGAACAACACCGGGGTCAGAACTTCTGAGAATATAGTCCAGCCCCAGAGGCAAAACACAGGCAAGTCTTCCCTTTGAGAAACGGGAGGCTTTTGGTTATGAGTTAGAGGCATAAGTACATGAGGCCTGGGCAAGACACCTAATTTTGAAAGTAGCCATGTTCAAAATAATTGAAATGGCCCACAGGACCAACCAAGGACCCGGCTGCCTCCTCAACAGTGCTAGCTGGGGAGGCATGTGGAGTGCATCCCAGGTGAAAGCGACTTAAGTCTATGGGTTTTTCACTGGTGAAGTCCTATCAGGCCTGTTTTCTGTTTCATTTTCAGAAAACTTCAGGTCACTACTGTAACTTTTACTTGAATCAATCTCATTAATAATGACTGGCAAGAGGTGAGTACAGTGTACCCCAGAGGAACAGCTTCTATTACGTGAAGATTACCAAGGAGGACACGTATCCTGTAAAGGTTACCAAGGAGGATGCGTGTCCCGTGAAGGTTACTAATAGGATGCGTACCTGTATGTCCCGCCAGCTCACGACTCACACGGACGTTCCCTTCGCGAGTTTTCAGATTGTAAATGGAGCAGATGTTATCCAGGCCGCCGCAGGCCACATAGTTCCCAGAAGGGGCATACGCACAGGTCATGACCCAGGAAGAGCGCAGAGGGATGGCGTGGACCTAAACAACAGGAACATAGACAATTTTAAGAGCCTTCAAGGACCCAGTTTTCAGAAATGGCATGCCTTTTATAATGAATCAGGGTCTAAAACACAAACACTGGTACTGTTCAAAACATTAGCAAGTACAAAGACATTAACACTGATACTGTAATTTTATTTCTCATCTCCAACATTCATTGAATAGAAGGCGACATAGCAAAATCAGGGCCAAAATTATTTAGAGAGTAAGTTCCACATGTGGTCAGTCAGATAAGGCAGAGCCTAGTGCCGAATCCAGTGCTGCACACGGAAGTGCAGTTTATTAAAGTAGCAGTTACGGTCAGGTGGGTACTTGGGTCATAGAAGAACTACCTGTTTATCAAAACTACACACTGGAAGGAAAGCACTACATTAACCTGGCAAATAGCTATAAATTCACTTGAAAAACATCAAAAATTTTTTTACAGAGCCAAACTGGACACTATAATCCTGTCATATCCCTCCCATGCTTTAGATTGGTTGTAATTAGTGCAACCATTTACACACATTTAGTATTCTTTTTTTTTTTTTTGAGTTGGAGTCTTACTCTGTCACTCAGGCTAGAGTACAGTGGCATGCTGCTGATAACCACTGCAGTCTCAGCCTACTGGGCTCAGGTGATCCTTCCACCTTAGCTTTCCAAAGTAGCTGGAACTGCAGACACGTGCCACCATACCCAGCTAATATTTTGATTTATTGTAGAGATGAGCTATCGCCATATTGTCCAGGTTGGTCTCAAACCCATGGGCTCAGGCAATCCTCACGCCTCCATCTCCCAAAGTGCTGGTATTATAGGCATGAGCCACTGCGCCCAGCCACATTTAGTATTCTCTAGTAAAATATAACTGAGTTGAATCTGCTATACATATATAACGAATCTACTACACATATTGAATCTGCTACACAATACAACCTTGGGTAAAGTTTTTAAAATAACTTCTCCTTGAAAGTATAATGCCTAGTCGGGCTCAGAGGCTCAGCCTGTAATCCCACACCTTTGGGAGGCTGAGGTGAGTGGATTGCCTGAGCCCGCGGGTTCAAGACCCTCCTGGGCAACTTGGCGAGACCTCATCTCTACCTAGCTGCAACTTTGGTGACATGAACTTCAATGTTACAGCTGCACAAGAGAAACCTCTTATTCACAAGCCAAAATAAATCAAAAATTAGCCGGACGTGGTAGCACACGCCTGTAGTTCCAGCTACTTGGAAGGCTAAGGCAGAAGGATTGCCAGAGCCCAGCAGGTCGAGGCTGCGGTGGCCGGGAGCGGCCACTGTACTCCAGTCTGGGCAATAGAGTGAGACCCCAACTCAAAAAAAAAAAAAAAAAAAAAAAGAAAGAAAGTATAATGCCTTTCACATTATTTACTGTAAAAGCCAGTAACTAAATGAAAAGCTATATTTCTCCATTCTATAAATAAAACATGAAACTTCCCAGACCAACCTGAAACTAGAATCCAGGTATCCTAGAAACATTGAGGAGGCACTCATGCCCACCTGTCTGGGAAGGAGGAACTCACCCCCATTTGCCTGGGAAGGAGGTGAGCATAATAGCACCTGCACCAGGTCCAGAAGACAGACAAGCAGCCTGTGCCAGTGTGGTATAGCTTCTGCCTCACTTACACGACTTTGTGACAGAAAACAAAGCATGCTGTGACTGCCTTGCCTATCCTGTGTTCATGATTCAACAAGACTGAATCCAGGGTTTAGAACCTTGTTGCTTCATGGGCTGGCTTTCCAGGGAAGAAACTGTGCAGCCCCTACCTTGTTGGTGGTATAGCTGTCCCAGATGATCAGTTTTCCATCCTGCGAGGCACTGACGAGAAGCCTGGAGCGACAGACAAGAGGAAAAATGCAGGCCCATCAGTCCTGCCTGAAACAGAAATCCTACATAGCTAACAAATGAAAACTAAAATGTGCTGACTCCTTTTTTCTGTTTTTCTACCTACAGGGTCTCACTACGTTGCCAAGCTGGTGTTGAACCTAAAGACTCAAGCAATCCTCTCACTTTGGCCTCTCAAAGTGCTGAGACGACAGGTGTGAGCCACTATGCCTAGCTGCAACTTTGGTGACATGAACTTCAGTGTTACAGCAGCACAAGAGAAACCTCTTATTCACAAGCCAAAAACAAAAAGCAAAACTCTAAATGTTAGAACAGCTCTGAAAACACAAATAAAAATACTGGATAGTCATGGTGGCTCATGCCTGCAATCCCAGCACTTTGGAAGGCTGAGGTAGGAGGACTGCTTGAGAACAGGAGTTCGAGACCAGACTGGGCAACATAGTGAGATCATGTCTCTACACATTAAAAAAAAAAAAAAAAAAAAAAAAAAATCAAGCTGAGTGTGGTGGCTTGGGCCTGTAGTACAGCTAATCAGGAGGTTGAGGAGAGGATCCCTTCAGTCCAGGAGTTCGAGGCTGCTGTAAGCCGTGATTGTGCCTCTGCACTTCAGCCTGAGAGATAGAGTGAGACCCTGACTCATACAAATAAATAAGTAAACAAATAAATACTGTCACAGATAATAATTCAGACTGGAGAGTACATGGCTCTGAATGCAGGGCAGATCACCAAAGCTACTCCTTTTGTCTGCTAAGACAGGTTGACTTCATCTCATAATTGCTTCTGTTCAGTTTCCTTTCATTATAAATCAAATTGGAGATATACAGATCTTTCAAGAGCCAAAGGTGGTACAAAATATTTAGTATACAATTTCTGTTTCATTCTGACACAGAGAAAGCCAGAATATAAAGGAATAATAAGCTTTTAGACATTGCAAATTCATGAAACATTTTTCACCCAAGAAACCCCATGAAATTTCCTAGACTGAGCTAAAACTGGAATCACGGTCTCCTAGAAACAGGAGGAGGCACTCGCCTCCCACTCACTTGGTACGGAGATGATAAACAACAGCACAACCGCACCTGGTCCAGAAGAGACCAGGCCCTGCCATGAATTGGGGGCAGAACTATTTCCTTGCTCTGGCAACTGCTGAGCTTGAGATCTGCGCATGGAAAGGAGCTCTACTACAGGAAAGTAAGAGGACCAGCCCAGGAACTTTCCACAGTGGGAAAGCAAGGCGGGTGAGAGGAAGCCCAGGAGCCACCGCCGCTGAGGGCTTCTCCAAGGACCCACAGAAGATGCTGCTTCTGTGGAAGAGCACGAAGGCTCTCCTCACAATTCTCTGCAAAGGTGTCTGTCAGTATGGTATATAATGATGTGACAATTTTCAGTCTGTTTGTTTGATTTTTCAGTTGTAGTCTCACTCCGTCGTCCAGGATGGAGTGCAGCAGCACACTCACGGCCACCCCAGTGTCAACCTGCTGGGATCTGGCAATCCTTCCACCTCAGCTTTCCAAGAAGCCGGAATGACAGGCATTATTTACTGTAGAGACGAGGTCTTGCCAAGTTGCCCACGCTGGTCTTGAACCTGTGGGCTCAGGCAATCCACTTACCTCGGCCTCCCAAAGTGTTGGGATTACAGGCTGAGCCACCAAGTCCGGCCACTATTTTCAGTTTTAAGAATTTTATCAAACATAGGTTTTTAGCCATTTCAGCAGCTTTTGAGTTAAAGTCTCACTCTGTCACTCAGGCTGGGCTCAGGCAATCATTCTACAGCAATCTTCCAAGGAGCTGGAACTAAAGGCGCCTGGCTAATTTTTTAATTTTTTTTCTTTTGGAGTTGGAGTCTCGCTCTGCTGCCCAGACTGGAGTACAGAGGCTGCTCCCGGCCACCGCAGCCTCGACCTGCTGGGCTCTGGCGATCCTTCCACCTCAGCCTTCCAAGTAGCTGGAACTACAGGCGCGTGCTACCACGCTCTGCTAAATTTTTGATTTACTGTAGAGATGAGGTCTCGCCAAGTTCCCAGGCAGGTCTTGAACCTGCAGGCTCAGGCAGTCCACTCACCTCAGCTTCCCAAGGGCGGGAATACAGACTGAGCCACTGAGTCTGGCTTAATTTTTTTTTTTGTCATTGTTTTTTTTTTTGAGTTGGAGTCTCACTCTGTCGCCCAGAATGGAGTGCAGTGGCCACTCGCGGACACCACAGCCTCGACCTGCTGGGCTCTGGCGATCCTTCCGCCTCAGCCTTCCAAGTAGCTGGAACTACAGGCGTGCAATACCATGCCCAGCTAATTTTTTGATTTACTGTAGAGATGAGGTCTCGCCTGCCCAGGCAGGTCTCGAACCTTCGGGCTCAGGCAATCCACTCACCTCAGCCTCCCAAAGGCATGGGATTACAGGCTGAGCCACTGAGCCTGGCAATTTTTAAAATTTATTGTAGAGATGAGGGCTTGCCAAGTTGCCCAGGCTGGTCTCAAACCCCTGGATTCAGGCAATCCTCTCGCCTCTGCCTCCCAAAGTGCTGGGATTACAGGCGTGAGCCACTGCGCCCTGGCACATGCTAGGCTTTTTTAAGTTGATCCAAAGCTGGAGCATGCTGATAGCAGACACTTTTTATTAAAGTTGTGTTTTTAGGTACTGAGCACAAACTGCTCCTGCAAAGGCATCAATGACTCAGGCAGGGAATACAAACCTTTGCATCACCACTTCATCACAATATTTATCACAGAACTAATCCTACTAGTTTCTGACACAATTTGTAACGCAAACCCTTCATCCAGGTTCAACTACCAGCATATGAGGCATAGGAGCAATTTCCATGATATGGCATAAGGTTTCCTTGCTGCGCTATTTCCTTGCGGCCTTTCTGAGACTGAACAGAGCATCAGAGCTGATCCAAAGTAGCTCATCCCCCACCCCTCCACACCCGAGGTCGGGAGGGTCACCTCAGCCAAGGTCTCCAGGGCAGATAGCTTAATAACTGCTGACTCACCAAGGGGTTAGGGGAACATAAGCTGCCCACTGATCCCTGAGAAGGTGAGAGAAGAAGACATGCCTCCTAATCCCAGGTCAGGGAACTGCTGGAAACCTGGGTTCATTCTGCCTCCGGTGCCTTTCCCTAGTCACAAACCAATCACCTGAGGTGCCACCCACCCAGAACACAGGGGCAAGGGCCAGGCAGAGAGCCAAAGGGGCCCATAACACTGAAAGGAGGGGACCACATCCAGATACCCATCATCCTTCATTTGACTCAGAGGAGGGGTCTCAGGCCTAGCTCATGTGGCTGCATTCCACTCCCAAATATAAGAAAACCCTTCAGACTTCAGAAAGTAATATGAACATCGCTAAAAGAGAAGTAAAAATATCAGTAAAAGTAGAACTTTAGTATAAATGAGTATATCATATAACACATTGATGCAGGTATAACACGTATATAGTATAATATTAATACACATACACATACAAACCACTCATTGTGGGCCTCTCCTGCAATTTTTAAAGACACTCTAGTCACTGCAAGTTTGTCCACAAATAAAATACAGTGGAACTCACAAGTTACAGCTTTGAATCATGAAAAGATCTAGTATAATAAACTCTGTTTATAAAGCAATAAACATGAAGATGATTAAGGAAAGTACTCACCATCCTCTCCAAAAAACCTATTTTGGACCTTAATGAGGCAATCCCTGGCTTATGCAGAAAACACATCTACCCAGAACAGACAATCCCTAGAGGCCTCTGGAGAGCAGAGGACTTCCTGATTTATCACTGTTTTTATTTTCTCTATGATTGTGCAATTATACAATGAATGTCATGCATCTAGCAACTGGTCTGAGAACAAGAGCGCAGCCACCACCAGAATCCCACAGGGTCTCCTAAGGTGCCTGCCCATGCCCACGGGGTAGCCACAACAGCAAGCCTGGTCCTGCTTATTCGGCCCTTGCTTTTCTTCCTGCTGAGCCTGAGGCTTTCCAAGGCACAATGTGTGTTTGAGACCAGATGGAAGATAAAGTCTCCACACCAGGATCTGGTGCCCACCTGTCCCACTCTGGGCCCCGAGCCTGCCTCCACTGCTTGGCCACACATCCCTCTCCCAGGTCCCTGGACACACCTGCCTGCAGCTACCACTCATCCCTTCCAGGCCACCCAGCCGAGAGCCTGGCTGCTAAATGTTAGAGCCAGCAGGAGCCTTTTCTGGTTGCAGTGCCAAGTGGAAAAGGAAGGAGGGAATGGGGTCAACAGCTCCTGAACACATCCTAGTGGTCTCGGGGTCAACGGCCCCTTCCTGATCCCTAACGCTCAGTGGGCCTCCATGGCTGGCTCCCAATCAACATCGTTGATGTCTATATTCATTAATGTGGAAATTTGTGGAGCAGTGATTCTTTTGTTGCTGTGTCTACTTCCTATCATTTTCAGAGTGTTAAAAAAGAGCATATCTCAGCTCAACACGGAGCTCCATGGTTTTGTGCTTAAAAATAAAAAAGGGGGAGATGTTGGGAGCTGGCCATGGAGGCCCACTGAGTGTTAGGGATAAAGAAGGGCCGCTGACCCCAAGACCACTAGGATGTGTTCGGGAGCTGTTGACTCCATTCCCTCCTTCCTTTTCCACTTGGCACTGCAAACAGAAAAGGTGCCTGCTGGCTCTAACAGAGGACTCTGAAACCGGAATGAACACAGCTAAACTTGGGAGTTTATTGTTCCCATTTTCCACAATTTATGGTTTTTGCTTTTAAACAATTTAAATTCAACTTTGAGTTACATTGAGGAGGCTTAGTGCAGGTCACAGTTTCTCTTGATGTGATTTTAGAAATTTATAGATATAGGTTTTAGGAAATAGTTTATATAGATTGAAGAAAATTTAGGTCACCATTTTATTGTAGAAGTGTGGTTAGTTTAGTTTGATTTAGGGGGGCCAATGAAGTTTGAATTAGGCCAGCTGGTATTAGGAGAGTGTAACCATAGCAGCGTTGTTCTAATAGAAACTAGTTTGAATTACCACAGAATAGTAGAAGTTAATAATTCATGATGGTGGTTTCGGGTTTACACATTGAGTGATGTTATTTCAAGATGATGTAGTTGTAATACAATTAAGGGCACATAAGAAACTGGTTTGGGGAACATTAATCAAGCATAAGAAACAAAAAGACAATTTGTGGTTGTTCTTCCTCATGTTCTTCCTCATGTATGAAAAAACATTTGCTTGAGAGTGGGGGGGTGTCCTTTGTGCACCTGAACCTGTTCATGTGAAAGGCACATGCTACCTTTTGTGTTTTGTGATGGTGACTTTGCAAAATTTAGGGACAAAAGCCCACTTTAATTTGCAATAAACAGCTTCTGCTCAATATTGAACAGTAGTCCAGTCCCTTTCTTTCTCCCCTAGTCACCTACTCTGTCTCATCTCCAGGAATCTCTGGACCTTGCTGGAGCTGGTCTCCCACAGCTGAAGGAGACACACTGCTCAGGGGACACGACCATACTCCCAGAACTGTGCTCCAAGGGCTGGGCTCCCAAGCACAAGTGCTCCAAGTACTGTGGGCTCCGGGTTGCAGCCTGGCTGCAGCACTGTCCAATGCCTTGCCTAGTTAGGGTATCGCTGTCCTCACAGAAGGAGCAAGATCTAGGCGTAACACATGGTTTGTTTCTGATCTACTTCTGATAGTAAATCAGGAGGTGGATAGATGAGTAAGAACATATTGTTTCTTTCTTTCCCCCTTTTAAGTTCTAAATGTTTCAAAAGTATTAACTTTGAATTCACAGAGCATTTGCTGATATTTTTTATTTTGAATGTTTTAAAAATTTTTACCTGACAAATAGTTGGGTATGTTTAAAGGGCACAGTGTGACATTTAGGTACATATTCACATTGTAAACAATTAAACTCAGCTGGGTACAGTGGCTCATGCCTGTAATCCCAGCACTTTAGGAGGCAGAGGCAAGAGGATTGCCTGAGCCCAGGGGTTCGACACCAGGCTGGGCAACTTGGCAAGACCTCACCTCTGCAATAAATAAAATTAGTCAGATGTGGTAGTGGGCACTTGTGATTCCAGCTACTTGGAAGGCTGAAGCAGAAGGATCACCTGAGCCCAGCAGTGGCTGTGAACAGCGTGCCACTGCTCTTTAGCCTGGGCAACAGAGTGAGACTCTGACTCAAAAAAAAAAAAAAAAAAAAAAAAAAAGAGGGAGAGATTAAAACCAGTTAGATTAAATCCAACATATCCATTACCTCACATACTTACTTTTTTTTTTTTTTGAGTTGGAATCTCATTTTGTTACCCAGGCTGGAGGACAGTGGCACACTCCTGGCTACCATAGCCTTGACCTGCTGAGCTCAGGTTATCCTTCAGCCTCAGACTTCCATGTAGCTGGAACTACAGGTACGCACCACCACGCTTGGCTAATTTTTGGATTTATTGTAGGGATGAAGTCTCGCAAAGTTGCCCAGGCTGGTCTCGAACCCATGGGCTCAGGCAATCCTCTCACCTCAGCCTCCCAAAGTGCTGGGATTATAGGCATGAGCCATTATGCCCGACTATCTTTTTTTTTGTGGTGGGAACATTTGAAATATACTTTATTAACAAGTTTGAAATATCATTATTAACCATAGTCCCATGCTGTGCAAGTAGATTTCTAAAACTTATCCCTCCTGTCTAACTGAAACTTAATACCCTCTGAATAGCATCTCCCTACCCTCTCTCCCCCTTTCCATTTTTATTTCTTTTTGACAACTGCCATCATTATCGTGCTAGCTCTCATTTGCATGTGGAATTGTATGGGATACTATATGGAACAAACTAAAGATAGAATCTTTTGTTCTCTAGCTGTTTATACTCTAAAGCAGACAATTTCTCAAACAAAAAGAAAGCCAAGCAGAAAATTCCACTCTGACAACTGAATTAAAAAAAAAAAATACTACTCAAAGAAAGCTATGGTAAGCATTGCATGTCAGGTGCTTGAAAAAGCATGTCATTGTTACACAAATCAAACAGCACTTTATTGAATTATTTGGATGGCTAAAGGCAGAAAACATAGACTTTTTAGTAGCCGCTAAAAGAAAGGAGAGGAGAGTTTTTTAATAGATTTCATTTCAACAATGGCTGCAGGTTAAGATAGACAGCTCAGTCAAGAGTGTAAACAGAACGGGAAGGACACAAAGTGTGAGGTCACGGAAGGGAGATGCCTGGAAGAAAAGTACAGAGTGAATTTAAAGTAGAAAAATGGAGCTGGGAGAGGTAGCCACAGATGCCTGTGATCCTAGCAATTAGGGAGGCTGAGGCAGGAGATCACTTGAGCCCAGGAGTTCAAGGTTGCAGTGAGCCTATAATAATGTCACTGCACTCTAGCCTGGGCCACAGAATGAGACTCTGTCAAGAAAGAAAGAAAAGGGGAAGAAGACAAGGGAGAAGGGGAAGGAAAGGAGAAATACAGGAAGAAAGAGATGAAGGCAGGGAGGAAAGGAGAACGAGGAGGGAGGGAGGAAAGGGAGGGAAGAGAGGAGGGAAGGAAGGGAGAAAAACGGAAATGCTGTCTTGGGATGGACAACAAGAAGGCAGGGCAGACAGGTCCAGAGAGAAGGGGGAGAGCAGCTCACAGGCACACTTCCCGTGCGTCTGCTGCTGAAAACCACCAGCAAGCCACACATGGCCTGTGAACCCATGAGTCGATACTCTAAGGCTCAACATGGTGAACCCTCCAGTGCTCCACGTGGCAGGTTCTGTGATCCCCTGAGCTAGGGCACTAAAATCACAAGAGGGTGTGAACCAAGAAGCTGTAAGACGCAGGCTGGAGAGTTGAGGAACCAGGGCACAGAGGTGAGATCACTGCCCAAAGGCCCTACAAGCAGTACACATGAGAGCTGGGAGAACCAAGGTCTAGAAATGGAAAGGTGAAGAGGGAGGGTTCACTGTTCAGCCCAGGTGAGCAGAAACCTGGGAAACCTGGACAGAAAATATGCCATCTGTCAATGGTATACTTGGCCTGCTCAGAATTCTGAGTCAACTTCCTAATTTTTTATTTACAAAACACAGTGAGTGAGTTCAGGTTACTTTCCCTAGCAATACAGAGCAACCCCAAGCATGGCTGGTACCACTCTGGTCACGCCCGAGCATACCTGGAGTCTGTGCCCCAGTGCATGGCGTAGATCTTGGCCAAGTGCCCCCGCAGCGTCCTCCTTGTGCGCATCTGGATTCTTCCCACTGGGTCAACATTGTTTGTGATCTTAAAAATAAGAAAGTTTCTGAGTGAACACCTGTGATGCGGCAATTCTCTACTGTGACATCTCCTCCTCTCCCACCTGTTAGTTAGACACTGTGCCCGATTCCTGGCCCTGTTCTTCAAGGGTTTCCATGATGGCAATCTATACCAAACCCTTTCATGGTTCGGTCTCTCTCGGGCTCCAAAAGGAAACCCACACCCACCAAGCAGTCATTGCCCACTCTCCACCCTAACCCGGGCAACCACTGATCCACTCTGCCTCTATTAATCTCCAATTCTCGTTATTTTGTACCAACAGAATTGTGCAGTGTGCAGCATCCGTCCCTGCTTCCTTCCACTTATCTTGATGTCTGGAAGGTGCATCAGCACTGCTTTCAGTTTCATGGCCGAGTCATACTCCATTGTATAGACATACCACAACTGTTTATTCACTCATCTATTTATAGGCATTCTGGATGTTCTACATTTCAGCTATTGTGAATGGTGCTACTAAGAACACTTGTGTGTGTGTGTTTGAGAGCCAGTTTTCAATTGTTGGGAATGTACCTAGCAGTAGAACCTCTGGGTCATACAGCTTAACTTTCTGAGGTATTGCCGAACTAGACCTCAGAAATCGAAGCAGCTTTTGATAGAAAGAGAATTATTTAAGGCTGAAAATACTTGGTTTTCACTACTACTTCCTCTGAATGGCCAATGCTTCGAGCAGTGGCTCTACACGTCCTCACAGTGCAGGAGGACTCACAGCAAAGCACTTGGGGGCTCTGGTGGGGCCCATGCCAGCCTCTGCAGGGCTGGCAACGGTATAGCTAATGATTCTCACCTGAGAGAGAGTTGCATCTGCACACGCTTTCCGAGCATCCTAGGAAACAACGACAAGGGCAATCAGCAAAGATTCCAACACTGACTCAGGTCCGCACACGCCAGGCTCGCAGAAAGCCTCTAGGAGCAGTGAGAGGACAGAGCAGCAGTCTGAGGACAGCACCCACACTCCTTACCTCTCCCAAGTCCCATAGCACATGCACAGACAAGCAGCAATGCCCACACCTGCCTAAGACCCACTGAATCCCCACAACTCTGGTTAGCACTGGGGAAACTGAAATGGAGGCTGGGGCAGCAATGAAGAACCCTAGAACCCAGGCTTCCCCTGTGGTCTCTTCCCACGGGCCAGCTCTATCTTCACAACAGCCCACGTGTGGTCAGGAGGGTGGGGTCCAGAGGAAAGAGTCCAAAAAGGACCAGATACCCAGCCCAAAGCACTCTTCCTCCAGGCTGCTTAACTAAAAACTATGCTTTCAAGAGAAGCAATGTTGACTCTAAATTCTGCTGAAAGAACAAGGGATCTGGGGTTAGAGACATTCGGATGAGACTTCTGGCTGCTGCCATCCCAGTAGCAAGAGCTGTGGAGGGATACACCAACACTAACTCAAACATCTTCACTACTAAGTGAGCAAAGACACTCGAGAATACCTCTTGAAATCTCACATTAGCATATGTTTTATTTTTTGAGTTGGCGTCTCTCTCCGTTGCCCAGGCTAGACTGCAGCGGCACACTCATGGCCACGCGAGCGTCAACCTGCTGGGCTCCGGCGATCCTTCCAATTCAGTCTTCCAAGTAGCAGGCGCGCTCTACCAAGCCCTGTTAATTTTTTTATTCATTGTAGAGACAAAGTCTCACCATGATGCCCAGGCAGGTCTTGAACCCACAGGCTCAGGCAATACTCTCGCCTCAGCCTCCAAAGTACTGAGATTACAGACTTGAGTCACTGTGCCTGGCCTAGCATGTTTTTATAAGTAGATATTTAACATGAGGGAAAACTAGACAATAATTTTAAAAGGTTCAAAATATGAGTGTAGGCAAAATTTTAAAGATCTTAATGATAATTTCTAATGAGAAAACTGTCTCTATATGCTGTCATCCGACCTGCTGCCAACACGGCCAATAGCCACATGCAGGACTTACACGTGTCTATGTATACCCCCCACAAGGGGTGGGGTTAATAACCAGGAGATCAGTCTTTAGGGGTAAACTACCTCACTGCAAATGAATTCTGCTTTTATGAAGCAGGTAAAAATAATTACCAACTGATAATATGGAAATATATTGGAATTATTATAAATACACTAAATCTCTAGATCTCAAATTCATCTCCAATGAAGTTATTACTGGTCATTCTCTTTATAATTAAAAAACAAATAAATTATGTAATCAAGTATTTCTAAGCCAGCAGTAAAATGTGGAGAAGGCCGAGAGCAGCAAATCTTTCTGTCAATGAATTTTACCTATCAGGTGCTGAGATTACTATTTATTTCTGAATATTATTCTTGCTGGTGTTACATATAGCCTTTGATTTAAAAACAAGAAAACATAAAATAGAGAAAATAAAACATGGCATTTAAACAACTTCACCTTGGCTAACACCCAAAAACTAAAAAAAGAAAAAAAACTTTTTTTTTTTTTGAATGGGGTCTCATCTGTTGCCCAGACTGGAGTACAGTGGCACAATCATGGCTCACTGTAGCCTCGACCTCCTGAGCTCAGGTGATCCTCCTGCCTTGGTCTCCTGAGTACACTGGGCTTTTTGATTTTCTGTAGAGACATGGTCTCACTATGTTGCCCAGGCTGGTCTCAAACTCTTGGGCTCAAGCAAAGTGAGCCTGCCTCGGCCTCCCAAAGTGCTGGGATTACAGGCATTAGCCACTACAGCTGGCCTGAAATAGGTTTCCTAAGGTAACTGTGGTGATGCTACTGCTGAACAGAGGAAAGAACTATTATAAAAAATAAACACAGCTTAACTTTAATTCAATCTTCATTCTAATCAATAACCATTATGTAAATGAGTGCAGCATTTCTCATAATGGAACCTTTAATCTTTAAGATGCAGGAAGAGGTCTTCTAGTGGAAACAAGCTCTACATCTGCTTGAAAGACTAAAAGCTTGAATGCATCTTTCAGATTAGTTTCCAATTTCAGATTCCTTTCCACTCCTGCAGATGCATCCACTGTCTACTTGAACCAGAGAGGAACGTATCCAAGTCACTCACCAGTCGCTTTCTCATGCTTTTTGGAATTATGACAAGCAGCACAGCAGTGCACAGGCAGCTTCAGCCTGAGTCAGCACCTGGGCACGCTCAGCTTGAAGTCGCTCAGCAACATTTTGGATGGAGTGCCCAGTGCAGCTGGCTGGAACACCAGTAAACTATGCTCACTTGCACAGGCTGGCATGCCACTTGATTAAAAACTCTGCACCTGCACATTTGCAGAGTTTTTCTTATTCCATCAGTTACTCTGTATTTTAAGAAATTCCATGTTTTAATCAGCATCCCTGTGAGAGCCTGTTTCCTCAATAATAATCAAAAGGAGAATGCAAGGTCTTTTAAGGGTCTTTTGGTCAAACAACAAATGTATGAAAGAAAACTACCCCTCTTACACTCAGCTATCATTTCTTTTTTTTTTTTGAGTTAGAGTCTCACTCTGTCGCCCAAACCGGAGTGAGTGGCCACTCCTGGCCACTGCAGCCTCGACTGCTGAGCTCCGGTGATCCTTCTGCCTCAGCCTTCCGAGTAGCCGGAATTACAGACACGCGCTACCACGCCCGGCTGATTTTTGATTTATTGTAGAGATGAGGTCTCACCAAGTTGCCCAGGCGGGTCTAAAACCCCGAGTCTCAGGCAATCCACTCACCTCAGCCTCCCAAGGTGCGGGATTACAGGCTGAGCCACCGAGCCCGGCGTCTCAGCTATCATTTCTTATTGGATCCACTATGTTTCGCATTCTTTACCAAGCATGTACTCTTCGAGCAATCAGAGAAAATGTATATTTTACTTTTTAAAAAGAGTCTTCTCTTTCCCTTTGGGATAATGGACTTAACAGTCTTTGCTGTCCCTGTCTCAGGCAAAGGTGAGCACAGTGCTGCGCCAGGCATTCTCAGAGGCAAAGCCTGCACCAATGTCGTAGAGACAAACCCTGATCATGACAGGGTCTCTGGAGCTTGGCGGCTCTCCTAGCGAGTCATCTAGAATTGCACTGTCCTGTATGTGAGCCACAAGCCATATATGGCCACTGGGTACTGGAGATGCAGCAAGTGCAAACTGACATGTGCCATTAAGTGTGAGACAGGAACTGAAATTTGAAAACTTGGTACAAAAAACAGAGTGGAAGCTCAGCGCAGTGGTTCACACCTATAATCTCAGCACTTTGAGAGGCCAAGGTGAGAGGACTGCCTAAGCCTAGGGATTCAAGACCTCATCTCTACAATAAATAAAAAAATTACCAAGGCATGGTGGTCTATGCCTGTGGTTCCAGCTACTTGGAAGGCTGATGCAGAAGGGTCACCTGAGTCCAGCAGGTTGAGGCTGCGGTGGCTGTGAATGTGCCATGCACTCCAGCCTGAGCAACAGTGAGACTCAGACTCAAAAAAAAAAAAGACAAACAACAAACTCAAATGGTGACATCATCTCTCCTTTCAGCTTTTATTTTAATTTGGATGTCTTTCACCTATACTATACAACCTCGACTGATCTGCTATGAATAGATTCAAATCTGCTATTCGTAAAAAACAACTTATGAACAATTTGTAGTAATTAGAAAAACAAACTGCTTTAAAATAGGCCAAATCACAAGCACACTACAGTTTATGACAGATCTTCAGGGTAAACTTAAAAATGGTAATTTTGGCCTGGGCAACTTGGCGAGACCTCATCTCTACAATAAATTTAAAAATTAGCCAGACAAGGTGGTGTGTACCTGTAGTTTCAGTTACTTGGAAGGCTGAGGCAGAAGGACTGCCTAAGCCCAGCAGGTTGATGCTGTAGTAACCATAAGTGTGCCACTGTACTCCAGCCTGAGCGACAAGTGAGACTCCAACTCAAAAAAAGATCAGCCTGGGCAACATATTGAGATACTGTCTATCCAAAAATAACAATAGGCTGGGCTCAGTGGCTCAGCCTGTAATTCCAGTAATTTGGGAGGCTGAGGCAAAAGGACTGCCTGAGTCCATGGTTACGAGACCAGCATGGGCAACTTCGTGAGACCGCTCTCTATAATAAATCAAAAACAATTAGTTGGGCGAAGTAGCGCACACCTGTAGTTCTGGCTACTTGGAAGGCTGAGGGGGAAGGATTGTCGGAGCTCAGCAGGTTGACACTGGAGTGTCTTTGAGTGTGCCACTGCACTCCAGCCTGGGTGACGGAGTGAGACTCTGATTCAAAAAAAAAAAGAAAAATACCCCAAAAATAACAGTAAAAAATTAATCAGGCATGCACCTATAATCCCATCCACTTGGGAAGTTGAGATTGGAGGAAAACCTGAGCCCAGGATGTCGTGGCTGCAATGAGCTGTGATTACATAGCTGCACTCCAGTCTGGATCACAGAATGAGACCCACAACTTAAAAAAAGGTAATTTCAAGTGTATGTTTAATACAGCTCCTTAGCCCCCCAAATTCTGACTTCTATATTCCTATAGTTATCAGATTTTGAGAGGGAAGAAATATATTATCAAAAGCAGAGAGTAACGAGGTGAGAGTGTTTTGAAGCCCCTCTCAACACCCAATTAACCCATGTTAGTTGTTATTACTACTAGATAGTGAGTAATAACAATTTTGCTGTTTTATTTATTGAAACAATACTGTCTCAAAATGAACTATGTAGAAGCTTAAGTACACAAGTCAGGAAAAATTTTAGGGGAATACGCTTTTGTTTTTATTTAGATAGGGATTTCAGGGAGTAATTTTATATCAAACCAAATAGTTTAGAGATATTTTATTAATTCTGGGGGTGTAGAACACGGTAAAAAAAAAGTCTGATCAGAGCAAACTATAAAAAAAAAACAACTAGATCTTTCTTATTTTTCATTAAGATAAAATTAGATCATTTTATTTATTTATTTATTTATTTATTTATTTATTTATTTATTTATAGTTGGAGTTTCACTCTGTCGCCCAGACTGGAGTGGAGTGGCCGCTCCCGGCCACCGCAGCCTCGACCTGCTGGGCTCCAGCGATCCTTCCGCCTCAGCCCTCTGAGTAGCCAGAATTACAGGTGCGCGCTACCACGCCCGGCTAATTTTTTGATTTATTTCAGAGATGAGGTCTTGCCTGCCCAGGCAGGTCTCGAACCCATGGGCTCAGGCAATCCACTCACCTCAGCCTCCC